CATGTATTTGAAGAGGTTTAAAAAAAAAAGGTCTTTAAAAAATGTTCCAGTTTCATCCCCTGTAGATTCCATACTTAGTCTGCTGAGTCCATCGGTCCATAGATTATTGACAGCACTAAAAATTCTTTCCATCCCCACAGTAGACGCTGGAATTGAAAAAGAATTCTGAGCCCATTTTAGCATATTTGGGTCAATAGGCTCTTTGCTGAAAAATATTTCTGTGTGTCAAGAAATGTTATTCTCTCAAGGCAAAGGAACAAGATACTGTGTTCTCATAAAGCAAATTTGGAGGAACATCTTCCCCTTCTATGGATAACTTCCAGATTTGAGCTACTTTACCAGAAAGGGCTATGGGGTGTGTTTCCTGAATAGTCAGATGACAAGCACCACACACAACGAGGGTGTTTCTAAAAGCAAGTATTTCACCAAGATTTGTGATCTTCTGGCTTTTGACCTTGTGGATTATGAGTCCCATTTATCCCTTGGAATGCCTACTTGGAACTATGAAAATGATTTACAATCCATATGTAGGGGCTTCACTTTTACCCTGTAATTTTTACTTCATATATGTAGTTAGAGCCCCTTTTCAATCCTCATGTATGTTTTTGCTTTCTGCCTTTTTTGTAGATGTGTTACCTGTTTCATTAATATTTGATGAAATAAGCTCTTAGGTTTTAGGTATCATTTCTCTAGGTTCAATGTTTAGCTTTGACAAATGTATACTAGAGGATCAGTTTTCTGATTTTCTCAATCTGATTCTCCTATCTTCCTCCTCTTTTCCTAGGCACTTGAGCTGAATGTTTAGTTCATCTTACTTGCTTAATTATAAAAGAGTTTAAAACTCAGAAATTTTCCTGTTGATACAGTTTTGGCCTTATCACATAGCTCCACATAGTGTTTTCATTATAGTTTCTAAATAGTCCATAATCTTGGCTCTTATTACCTCTTTTACCTAAGAAATTTCCAAGAATTAGACTTCTAAGTTATCATTATTATCTTCCTCATTGATTTTTCATTCAAAAAATATTTTAGCAGTGCTTCCTCCTTATCAGGAGCCACACCAAATGCATAGGATAGTGGAACAAGTGTAACCAGCACACTTACTGGCCTCATGGGACTTGTCACTTGCTGAGGAAATCATAAATGTAACCACACAATTAATTAAAATTGCAATAAACATGGACAAAGATCTCAGGGTGCCCAAGACTCCTAACTTTACTAGGAGGAAAGTTGCCTATTACATCCAGTGAACTTTTTCTTCATTTTACTTCCCTGCCTCTCTTCCTGAACATGAATGGTTTTAGTATCCGTTTGACTCTAGGCAAGCAAGTAATTTATTTTCTTGTATGTAGTTCTGATGGTTCTTTCCTGAGGCTTCCCATAAACTCTAAAATGTAAAGGACTCTCAATTCATATGAGGTTTGTAGTTTGTGGGTTCTACTTGCAATAAAAGTTTAAAACACGTGTAAGTAAATGCTGTTTTCTTCTGAATCAACAAATCCTATATTTAAGAAAAACCTAAATCTTAAGCGAGTTTTTATCAACATAATATACATGCATTAATTTTAAACATCAGTACTGAAAGGCTCAGTGAAACAACCAGCCCTCCCTGCTCTCTGCACACCCGCTCAGCTCCCCGGAGGCAGCCACTTCCAGTTATTTAGCGGTTTCTTCTGGTAGTTTGTGCCACAAAAATGTACATCCCTCCCATGTGCATTTGCTGCAAATTCTTGAGCCATGCGCTCTGGACAGTATCTGGTGACTTCTTCATAGGATTTATAGATGCTGGTTTAGTTCTCCAAACCACCTTCCTTCATTCTTTAAAAACAATCTCCATCACTGTGGTTAAAACTCTAGTTAACTCATTTTGTTAAAGGAATATTCAGTGTCTTAATGATTAGGAATGAGTGAGTATGTTTCACTGTGTACTCAAGTAATAAATTATGAATAACATGTCCTTTCTTAAATATTTTCATTTCCCTGGATATTCTAGTTTCCTTTTAAAAAAATCATCTTACCATATCTCCCATCTACTTACTAGACATATACACAAACATGCAATCTTAAAAATATTTTACTTATTTTTATTTTATTTGTTATTTATCTTCCCCTCCCCCCAAATGTGCTCTCATATCAGGTTTTCAAGAGAAAACCTGAGGGTGTCTTCTCCAGGGCTGCTGCAATGGGGACCAGTTGCTCCTAAGGCCTGCTGCTCATCCAGCATCCCAGAACCTCTTCACCACTCTTGGACTGAGTCCTGTGTCTCCTGTATCCCATGTCTTCCTTTTCCTGGTTTACGCCTTCATCTCACTAGAGGAAATTCTTGGGCAGCTTTCATACACTTCATGGCAAATATTCAAGTCTGAGTTTTTTGGTGGGTATTCTAGCAACCTATATAGTGCTCCTTGAGAAATCATTGCTGCCCTGAATCTCATTGGTAGGCACTGACTTGAGCAGATAAGTGAGGCTAACCAGATCTAGGCCTTCTGAATGCATCTGTGGGATGGTGGGAGGAGGACACACAGAAGACAGGCCTGCTTCCTCTGAGGTGCTATGGGTATGGGTACTGGGGAGGCTGGTAGGTAGCTGAACACGACAGTCATCCAGCTGGGACCAGAGAACCAGTGGTGTGGATGCTGGAAGCCTGTGTGTGTCAGCTGCATTTGTGTGAGCACAGAATCAAGGTTTGTCTGACTATTGGATGAATATGGATGATGCCAAATAAGTCAGTGGGGTTCTAGATTCCATTAATAAAATAAATAAATAAGTAAAAGACCTCCTGAACAAGGGAGGTGAGAGGCCTGCTGAACTTCACCGGGAGCAGTTCACACTAGGTTTGTGGTTCTGCTTTGGGTATATGTTGTTCATTTGGCAAACTTTTTATCCAGATTGTTCATGTTAAATGCTGCCTCCTTTCACAGTTCTCCTTGACACTTCCCTTGCCCAAATTCATTTATTATTTGCTGAGTCTTTAGTCTCTATTTACTCACTTCCATGTTGTTGTTGTTGTTTTTTTTTTTTAAATGTCTCACTTCTCTGTTGAGTCAAGTTTCCTAACAATTCTTGGACAAGCCACTCAATCCTTGTGATTATGAACCTGAACCAGAAGCGATCATCTTGGCTCCCTCTTTGTCTCAGAGCTGTGTAAAGCTCAGATGAGTTGTATATTATATGCTTTAGAAACAGCAAATGGGGTGGTGTTATTTCCTGTCCATTTTTTACTATAATGAATAACAGCCTCAAATTAACAAGCCAGTTAGGCAGCCGTTTTTCCTAGCATCTGTGCCGTGTCCCCACCCTGATGTGTCCTGAATTTCTCAGTGGGAGGAAAAAAGCTTGCTTCTCAAACTCTAATTTCTTTAGTACTTGAAAGGCAGCTTATTCTGCCTTTCCTCTGTGAAGTCCATAGGCTTTCTGCATCATGTGCAGTGGGCTATCCCATGGCTACACTCTCTGTGGCTCCAGCTGCTGAGGATGGAGGAATTGGGCAGGGCCTGCTCAGAACAGCCTTGGGCTCCCTGATACACCAGTCCTAGCCTAGGAGCTGCACTGCTTCCCCTGGTGCTGGGCAGTCACAGTTCTACTTCTCTCTGCTGCATTATGAGGCTTTTGAACACTGGCCTACTTCAGTCTGATGGTCATGGTGGGTGTATTGGTTCAGGTCGTTGTACCAAGTTTGGCCAAGGATGCACCAAGCCTGGGGTCTGCTTCATTTACACTCCTGTGTTTATCAATTGACCTCCAATTCCAGAAGCTCTGGGTCCTGGCAGATAGACTTGAGGGATCTCCCAGGAACAGCTATGCTTTGCCAAAGCCAGCCCTCCCCAAGTAGCCCTGCCCCAGCACTAGACTCTCAGCATAGGCTGCTTTCCTCAAAGCCTTTGTATTTGAAGAGGCTTGTTGCCATTTCCTGGCACTGGCCCTTGACTTGGGCCACTCAGGAACCACAAGGGGAGACCTTAGCACCAAATCTTGAATACCAGGAGTTTATGTCTCTACTCCTTTCCAAAAAGCACTAGCTTTATAGAGCAGAGGTCTTAGTCACTGCCGCAGTCTGGCTGGGCACAAAATAACCGAGCCACCACAAAAGCCTTGTAGATTCAAACAGCAACTCTTTATTCCCTAACTCTCACCGACACTCTCCACACACTACCTGGGAAAATACACTCCCTCCACCGGGCTCTGCGGACCAATACTCTCAGAACCCTGCGAGAACTCAAAAGGAGCGGGTGCCTGAGGCAGCAGGATATGCCCTAATCCTGGAGCCACCCTGTTCCCAGCAGGATCCACCCTAAACCCTAATCCCTGAGCAGGGTCACCTTTCAACCCAAAATGCCATGCGTCATTCCTACTTGGCTATAGCTTTCAGCAAGTCACCAAGGAGATTGCTTCCCTAATCTTTGGCTGTGGGTAACTGCTCATCTTGTGTTGCATAATGAGGTCACCCCTTAGATGACTGCTTATAGAAAAGAAGTTTGTCTTCTTTTGATCAAATCACCATGCCCAGTGTAAATATGACAGAGGCAGATGCTGGGGACTGTGGAGGAGACAGCCTGAATTGGAGCACTGCCCTGGCTGTGTTCTTGTGGCTTGTGCATGGAGTCATGTGCAAGTTCAGTTCATGGGGCTTTGTGCTGTTTGAGATGTGGAGGGAGAGTACATAGCTGTGAAATAACTCTTCTGGTAAACTTGAGCAGTTTGCTTCACTCTCTGAGCCCCTTTCTGGTGCAGGGTCTATCTTGTAGAGCAGTGGACTAGGTGGATTTAGAAGGTATCTTTCAAGTGTGAGATTCTGGGAAGACAGGAAGACTGTGGCTGTGAGAGTTTCTACCTCTGTGTGAAATGTCCTTTTAATCTTTAGCTGTGCCCAGGTTTGGCACCTGACAGCCATACTCTTTAGGATGTGTCCTTTTTGTTCTTTGTGACAGCTGTCCTCTCCCTTCAGTTTCTTCTGGCTTCTTTTCTCTCTCTCATCCTCTATAATTTCTTCTCATTTCCAGCTTTTGAATCGAAAAGACAAGACTACCTTTGAGAAATTGGACTATCTGATGTCTAAAGAAGATAATTACAAGCGGACACGGGAATATATCCGAAGCCTAAAGATGGTGCCCAGTATTCCCTATCTAGGTAGGAGTCTGAATTGGCTTATTATTATTTTTTTAAGAAACATGCTCAGTGCCAAATAAGATATTTTTATAGTTTCTAGTTGAAAAATTTCCAGGAAATAGCAGGGAGCATGGATAAAGAGGCAATTGGTTGGCTCCTTGGGTTGGAACAGGCTATTGATACTTCCAGGGATGGAAACCTTGATGAGGGGAGAAAAGAGGGACTTTCTGCTTTTTTATATGTGTGATCTTTGAACCCCAGGCTCCTAGGCTGCAGCCCAGACATCCACAGTGATGGTAGTAGAACTCCTACTGGTTCATCCACGTTGCTCCCAAACTTGAGAGCAAACCCTCTGTTCTGGTTCTCTGTTCTTAATTAGCATATTTCTTAAGAGTTGTACAAACAAATTTATAGCAACAATTATTTATTTTTCTGATTAGAAAATAATACATGTTTACTATAAGGAATTAGGAAGAGAAGAAAGTTAATATTCTTTAACTCACCTAGAGAGACTTTGCTCCTTTTCTAATCATTCCTTTGGGCATTTACAAAATCAGTAGGGTTATTATCTACATTTCAATACTTTGGCTTAGCCTCATCAGATGGATTTGTCAAACTTGAATCTACTGCTGGTATTAACCATGTAAGTTATTTCTACATTTTCCATGAATACCTTATTGCAAAAACTTGCTATATACAGTTATGATTATTACTTTGTAATAAATTCCCAGAAGTGTGATTACTAGGTCAAAACTTATGCAAAAATTTATGCCTTTGGGGGCTGGGGCTATAGTTCAGCAGTATGGTGCTTGCTTAGCGCTTGTGAGGCCCTGGGTTTGATCCTTAGCACCACATACAAATGAATAAATAGAATAAAGGTATTTTTAAAAAAAGGCATGCCTCTTCGAAATGCTCTCCAGACAGCTTGTATCAGTTTAAACTTTTTTGGGGGGGTGGGGGGGAACTGGGGATTAAACTCAGGGGCACGCAACCACTGAACCACATCCCCAATCCTACTTTGTATTTTATTTAGAGCCAGAGTCTCACTGAGTTGCTCAGTACCTTACTGTTGCTGAGGCTGGCTTTGAACTCCTGATCCTCCTGCCTCATCCTCCCTAGCTACTGGGATTATAGGCGTGCGCCACCGCGCCCAGCTACACTTTTATTAGAAGAGGGTGAAATTGCTTTTCTCCCACATGTACAAATACTGTATGTTTTCTTTTAGTTATAAATGGACACAATGTCTTTATTTACTTATTTTTATGTGGTGCTAAGAATTGAACCTAGTGCCTTACACATGCTAGGCAAGCACTCTACCACTGAGCCACAATCTTAGCCTCTCCTTCTTTTTTTTTTTTAATCTTTGCCAATTTGATAGGCAAAAAAATGCTTCTGCTAGTTTGGGCTTCAGTTTTGTGCTAATTTTTGAAATATTTTGGTTTTATGATATAAAATAGCTTTTAATAATAAGGAAAAACTAAGATTTCATAGAAGTGACTCCTAATATTTGTAGGGATGTAGTACAATTTTTCTTTAATCTTTGGCATATCTCTTCCATAAGCATTCTTTATTTACATTTTCTAATTCTTTTAAATCCAACTTGGAAATTTTGTTTTTTAATAAGAGATTGTCTATTTGATTCCAGCTTTCAAAATTATTAGCATAGGGTTTTTACCCATTTAATTATTTTACCATAATGCACTATATAGTATATTTTTTATAAATTTGAACTTCTTGGCATATATGATTATATATATGTGTGTGTGTGTGTGTGTGTTCATGTTCCTAATAGTTTAGATTTTTGTTTTCTCTTTCTTTTTAAAAATTTGTTTTGCCAGAGGTTTATCCATTGTTCTTTCCAAAGAATTAGATTTTGGATGTGTTTATCAGTCACACTGCCTTTCTGCTTTTTAGTTTACCATGTTTTTTTCTATGAAGTGCTTTTTCTCTCCACATTTTAGCACCTTTGAAATTAGGATGTACCTTTCAATTAATGATAAAGCATTTTAACATTGTCTAATTGGCAGCAATTTTTTGAGTGATACATAAAAAAGATAGAATCACACATGATTCTTGAGTAATGGAAACAGTTAAGGTTATAAATTATCCTCCAAGTGCTGCTTTTGCTACATAGTACATGTTTTAATACAAATGTTCTATAATTGTAGTTTAAATTTATGTTCTAGTATTACTTGGTGATTTTTTTAAATTTTCAAGGGCTTGTATTTTTCCCTAACAGACTTATTAAAATATAATTAATATATAATCCATTTAAAGAGTGCAATTTAGCAGTTTTTAGTATATCCACAGAGTTGTACAACCATTACCACCATCAATTTTAAAGCATTTTTATGAACCCCAAAAGAAATTTTTTATCATTAGTAGACACTGATTTTCCTCTCTCTAGCCACCCCCCCCACCCCCAAACTTAGCCCTAAGTTACCACTAATCTACTTTCTGTCTTCATAGATTTTCCTGTTATGAAAATTTTATATAAACTGAATCATAGAAATTATCTGAAATAAATGAATTTCTTCTCTTATCATCATGTTTTAAAAATTCATCCATGTTGGAGTATGAAGTATGATCAGTACTTCATTCCTTCTTATTGCCAAATAATATTACATTGTATAGATACAGTACATTTTGTTTACTCATTCATTTGATGGACATGCGAGTTGTTTTAACTTTTGGGGTATTATGATAACATTTCTTTGAATGACTGGGTTTTTTAAAAAAATTGGTCTTTCATCTTTTTAGAATATGACCTATGTGATTTCTAGGTTTTTAAAAAATATTTGAGATTTTTCTTGTGGGTTAATACATGATCAGTATTCATGGGTTCTGGGAAAGAAGGTATAATCTTTCAAAATTCTCTTAAGTTGCCTTATAATATTCAAATTATAAATTTTTGAAAAGTTGGTTTATCAAGAACAGAAATATAAGTCAGAGTCCCCTTGTGTTTCTAGTAGTTTCTGCCATATGTGTTTATTATATAAACATTTATAATAGTTGTAAGTTCATTGCAAAGTGTCCCATACAAAACAATCTTGGTTCCATTTTTTTACTTGCTTTTGCTTCTTTGATATTAGTTGGGTCACACTTAATTTATATCTTATTTTTATTGCATTTATGTTATAAATCTTTGTCTATATTTTAGATTTTAATTTTAAGCTGCCCTGTTCTAGGTGTGATCAAATAACATTTAGTTGGACCCAATATGAGAGACCTTGTTTATTGGTAGGGCCATGTAAGTCTTTCACATTTGTTTAGTCTTATGTCATGTAATTGAAATGAATTTCATTTTGTGTTTTCTCACTCTCTTGTTGTACCCTTCTCCCAGTTTGCAGTAAACTGTAGTGTCTTTCTACTTGATGGCTGGCAAATCCCCTCTTGGGTTCACAGTGGAGGAAATGTTAATGTGCATAGTTCCAAGTCCATTTCCACTTTGCCCGAGGCTCTCAGTTGAGGGATGGGATTGATGGAACAAGGGTGAGGGCAGCCTAGTACCATGTGTGGCTCAACTAGTGGATGAAGTCCAGCATGGTTAGGATGGCCTCTGTAACAGGGGTGATCAGGAGATCTGCTGTTTATTGCCTACCTCTCTGTGTGCATCACCTCCCTGAATGCTCACAATAGCCCAGGCACTGAGAGGTGCCTAGGGTCGCATTACTGGAAAGTTCAGAGCCAGGAAGGGGCCTAGCAGTGCTGGCTATGAGCCTGGGCACTCGACACTGCCCTCTCCCGACTTCTCACCTCCACTGTTCAGGTCAGTATTTTCCTACCCTTCCCTTGCAGTTGTCACCTACATGTCCTCTGTCATATGTGACTATAATGACACTGGCACTATAGGAAATGGATGAATTGCCGCCATTCTTTCTTGTTGTTGGATCACCAATCAGGCTCTCTTAGGCTTTCAGTGTCATTGGCTAGCCTGAGCTGGCCTTTGGGCCCCTTGCCACTTAGAGCGTCTGAACAGAGGCAGCATCCTTGCCCTCCATCACCTCATTTCACCTGCCTTGTTCCTGGCAGGCGCTTCCTATTGGCTCCTGGAGGCATCCTTTCTCCTGCACGGCCTTCCTGTTCTGGCATTGAGAGTGCAGTGAACTGCCCTGCTCCTGTCCCCGGTCTTGTGATGATCATTCCTCACAGTGCAGCAGAATGACCCTGATATATATAGGTCAGAGGGAGGAACAGGAGGCACCTGGACTCCAGCGGCTTTCTATTCTCAGGACAGCGCATGAGGGTTTACCTTGGGAGCTCCACAATTTGAAAAGTAAACATGAAGCAAGGTCTCATTCTGAGGCTCAGTGGGGCCACTGTCCTGAGGGCAGCTGGGGTCTTCACTTGCTCATCTGAATGCCATGGACAGACCCTGCCCAAACCTAGGTTGTGGTTTCTTTCAATACTGGATTCCTCTTGAAAACCCAACCTTCATGGGGATGGATTTGTTTATCTAAAAAGTGATGGTTACATAATTCCTGGAAGGTACAATATAGGAAAAAATGTCTGCAACCATTTGTTTTTCCCTGGCAAATCCTCACTGTAGGTCTTTCCTCGGGGAGGGAGGGAGCTGCTCTGGGAGGAGCGTAGGCTCCTCTCTGATGTTTCCAGCTGCTCTGTTGCTTCCACTGCCTGAGACCTTGCTCCCGCCTCAGTGGCTATTTGCCTCTAATAGCAAATGTGGGTTTTATTTTTGTGATGATTCTCTTAACTCTCTGTGGAAGGTTCTGTGCTAACTGGGTTTCCATGACTCTTTACTCTTGTGTCATCCACGAGAGATGCCCTCACGTAATATCAGCCACTGTTGCCAACCTGCGTGGGCATGTAGTCCAACCTTTAGTGAACTTTAGAGCCAGTTGGCTGCACTTTGGTGTCCTGGGTTCCTTGTGAAACATAATTTAAAAAACACAGAGGGGAAAATTTATTACATTTAAGAAATAAGACTTTCTTTGAATCATCTAGTTTCTTCCAAATTACTTCAGAGTGCGAAAATAGTATTGGGAGATACAGTCAATATT